ATATCGAGCAGGCTATAAGATACCTTGTCTCGTTTTGGAACGGAGTCGATTTGAGATATCGTTTGCTTACTACGCCGAAAATACGGCTTAATATCGCAGGAATAATCATAAGCGTTGTAAGTTTTAGCTTAATATTCAAATAGGAGAGATCGGGATTAGTTGTCGTATGGGGTTGATTATCAAAATGCTTATAATTCGAACAAGATGGCAGAAAAATCTTTTTGACTGTAGATTGTTGATATAATATTAATTTGTTATGTAAAATGATTTACGCTACAAGCATTGTATATATTATTTATTTTTAAGAAAATGAAGTTGAGTAAATTTTTCTTATCACCTATTTTGTTGTCTGACAAGTCTTTGGCATTATTAATTGCGATATCCTTGTATTCATAGAAAATGACATATATTAGAAGATCTATGCATACAATTAATTAATCATTATCCTAACAAAGTTTGTAAATACAATCTCTTTTATTAAAAATGGCTATGTGGGGAGATTGATCAAAATGAGACGAAGTTAGTTTAAACAATCAATTTTAATATTTTTAAAGAATGCATTTTTAGAGAATATACTTACAGATATATTATATTTTATAGATATATATATATATTTTTTTTTTTTTCATTTAGAAATTACGGTACAAAAAACAAATTATGTATTTTATAATTAAAAATTAACTATTCTATTTAAAGTAATACCATAATTACTATTATTCTCAAAATATAAAACTGATATTAAAATAAAAATTGTATTTTTTATATGCGTTGTCCACAACAAATATGCTATTGCCAATTCTATAACATGTGACAATCAACCCAGAACACAGGATTAATTATTTTCAGTCATATTTTCGCTTCATTTAAAATTAAATGACTTATTTTTACGATATAATGAATTCACGAGTAATATTTTTTTTAATACCTAAAGGATGTAAATATTATAACGTGCATAATATTTCAAAATCAGGCATCTATTTTTTTCTAAAAATCACTAATCAAAAACTATGACAATCCTACATTCAAATCCTTCATTATATTCAAATACACATGCATATAAATATGTCCTAATTATTTTACATCAAAATTTAAAAGAAGATAATTTCTGAGTTAAATAATATTTGTAATATATTTGATATATTTGATATATATCTATATTATTTTTAACATAACATTTCGTTATATTTTAGGATAAGGATGCAACTCCATATTTAGAAAACAATCATTTCGAAGATTCATCCCTAGATGCGGATCGTGCTCTACGCAACATGGGAGATTACTTCTATCGCGAGAGTAGATTCCCAACTGATTTTTATGACATAGCGATCGCTATGACAAAGTAAGTATCCGCCTAACAAACAAAAATGGATTGAAATTTTTTTCTATCCAATGCATATTTTAAATAGCGAATATAAATAGCGAATTTAAATAGCTTTTTTTTGGATTCAATTGGATTCAATTGGATGCAATTAGATTGAAAAATTACATTTCCTATTCAAAATTTTGAATTGAACAGTATTCACAATTTGTGTGCGTGCGTGCGTGCGTGTGCGTGCGTGTGTGTGCGTGTGTGTGTGTGTGTGTGTGTGTGTGTGTGTGTGTGTGTGTTGCACAGAAAAAGCTAATATTTTTAAATTGAAAGGTATAAAGATATGCTCCATGCAATTCCTATAAATGAATAAAAATGCATTCATTTTAATATTCGTGAATCAATATTTCGGAAAATCTGAATCCATTTCAATTCATTTAAATCCATTCTCGTTTGCTGGGCGGTAATTCCCATATAAGTTTGTTTGTTTAATTTTTAGAATCACTTAAAAATAACACGCATAGACAAAAAAATAATACAATCCGATATAATTTCAGTCTAGATTTGTGCAATATGATTACTGATGACTATTGCGAGCCATCGATTTTGGGTAAGTCTGCCAAGATAACGTATTATATGACAAATGCTCTTTCCAATTACAATCTTTTGCAAAAATATAAAATAATAATAAATTCTGCAGGTTACGCATACGTAGCCGGTGCATGCGACAGAAACGCAACAAAACAATCATCCGAAGCCGTAGGAATGATTGAAGATAACGGTGGATTTTCCGGTATCATTGTAACTGCTCACGAAGTCGGCCATCTGTAAGTTAATATATTTGCATGCATTTTGTAATTTTTTCTGTAGAAAGAACTCATAAAAAATTGTATTTATAATTTTTGATCAGAAAGAAGATTCTATGCGATCTAAAAGAAAAAATGATGAATTGAACAAAAAATAATGAATAACACATGAATTATAGCTTCTGTGTCATTAAAAATAGTATAAATATATGTAAGGAAGAAAAAGATACACAATGTTTCACGCCCAGCAAACGAAAATAGATTGAAATGGAATCAGATTTTCAAAAATATTGACAAGAAATATTCACAAATGTTAAAATGAATGCTTTTCAATTCTGAATGCATTTTTATTCATTTATAGGAATTGTATGGAGCATATTTCTATGCCTTTCAATCTAAAAATAATATTAGCTTTTTCTGTGCACATAAACACATTGTGAATACTATTCAATTCAATTTGAATAGGAAATGCAGTTTTTCAATCCAATTGCATCCAATTGAATCTAATTGAATCCAATTGAATCCAATTCAATCCAAAAAAAAAGTATTCACTATTTAAAATATGCATTCGGATAGAAAAAAATTTCAATCCATTTTAATCCATTCTCGTTTTCTGGGCGTTTCTGGGTATAAATTTAGTTATTCAATTTTGAATTCGGAAATTTGATAATAAAAAGATTTTTTTTACATTGCAGGATAGGGGCACGTCACGATGGCAATCCGAAGGGTGCCAGAGATTGTCCGGCTAATGATGGTTTCATCATGACTAGCGGACTGATGTTGGATGAGAATGGCTTCGAATGGTCTCCGTGCACCATAAACGCCTTCTATAATTTCATCAAGTACATATAGCACGAATGTAAATATATTTCTTTTAAATAAAAGATATTAATTTAAGAATTTATTTATTTTAGCCAGGATAGAGCAAAGTGTCTTTACAACGAGCCCATAATGGGTGAACCTGTGACGCGTATTTTGCCCGGAACTTTGATGTCCTTGGATGATCAGTGTAACAAGGTCTTCGGAACAGCGGCGTGTAATGTAAGCTAAAGCTAACATACATATAATTTCGATATATATAAAATATAAAAAATCAACTTTACTTTGAAAAAATTTTGAGAAACATTTATAATGCACATTTTCTTTATAGAAAGACACCACGGCCTGTATTCGCTTGGACTGTGAATATCCTGGAATTGAGGGCTATTGCAGAGCGACCGCACCAGCAGCGGAAGGTTCTTCTTGTGGTGATGGCTTGGTGAGTTTTGTTGTTAACTTTTTCATTTTATTTGAATACTGAATTTCTTAAAAAAAAATAGCTGTTATTATTAATAATGTAAAAATAAGATTGTAAGAAATATTTACTGTACAAATTATAATTATAGACATTATTATTAATTAATTATGATATATATTAGCGCTACACAGTATAAAGTATTTATCTAATATCTTTCTAGATCTGTCTGAATGGTAAATGTGTACTTGAAGGAATATTAACCAAAGAAAAGGATAATGAAAAGAGGAAATTACTCGAAAAATTCCTACCGAAATTCAATTTTCAAGCGATTAGAAAGATTCCATGGATAAATTTATTGAAATCACTGAAGAACAAATTAAAGAAGAAACTCTTTGCGTGATAATAAATATGAATGTTGTCGAGGTAAAATCAAGTCAATTAAACTATTTTGTTTTAAATGCTAATACCATCTGAAATTCATTGAAATTATATTACTAACGAAAATAAACAATTTATTTTTTTATTAATAATTTTATTAATAATTTTATAATCGTATTTGATTCTTTAATTTTTATCTTTAATTTTTGATATTTGGATTCAATTTTCTGGCACAAGATAAAACTTCATGATAAACAATTAAATAAATATTCTTTTTTTTTTTAAAGAAATGTTCTAATTTATATTCTATATTTAATTGTATATAATTTATTTTACAGGGAATCATACACGCTGATATGTCTATGCTCTAATTACTGAAACAGGAGTTATAACATAGGACTATATAAGAACAAAAAGGGATATTCTTTTAAAAATATGTATATCCTGATTGAATTTTTTCAATTCTCTATATTCTATTTATGCTTGTAAATGTAGAGGAAGATACATATATCAAAATATTGTAATATTTCACATACAAAAAATTAAACCATGATCATATTCCTTTTTAGTTATATATAATTAAACAAACAAAAATTTCACTTCTTAATGTTACAACTTTATTAATAATGCAGATTTTTTTATATTAGACTCTCAATTGCAAATTAAGTTTTCAGCGAAATTTAATTTTAAATTGTCAAAATTAAAAGTGTTTTCAATATTTTCATTATCCTATAACCTAAATACAAACTTTAAAGTGCCTATTGAAATACAACTAATTGTACTGATGGGTTGAATATTAATATCCATAATCAGAGAAAATATAATAGTGTTGAAATGCCCTGTGTAATGCAATACACTGTAAAAAAAATATAAACGCACAAAATAAATATTGATTTGTCTGCTATAATTAAAAATGGTTAAATAATATTGCAGCATATCCTTAGCAACTTAAACTAATTCTATTTACTAACTCAGCACTTTTTACATGTA